CCAGTCCTGGGTTCTGAGTTTGGCAGAGTATTTCTAACCCAGGAGTCTGGGTTTAGGAGCTGGAAATCCCAGGTTTCTGGTATTTTTGCTCCCTGACAGCCTGCAATACAAATCAGGAAGGATCCAGGAGAGCAAACCAGCAGGAAACTAGACCCCAATCAGAGCTAGCCATCCGTTAAATAATGCTTTCATTTAGACAAATGGAAAACAATTGCAGTAAGAGCTTCTGTGGAGCTGTATTTAGTTCTCCTCTGTAGGATAGAGACTAGAAATGTAATTTTATTTTGAAATAAATGACGGGATTTATCACATATACATAAGAAGCTGAAAAAAAACCTATCAATTTTCTCTGAGAGATTGGGGGGAAAAAAAAGTCACAAGATCCAGCAGACTGAGAATCCTCCTGCCCCTGCCTCCCAAAAATACCAGATTTTAACATTCAGATGAGTTCACCAGAGAAATAATAGATACCATGCTGGGAAAATATTTTGTCAAAGTTACTGATAAGACAAATGAAGCAAATACATATTTCTAGATTTACAAATAATAGTGAAACAGTTTACATCTCATTTCCATAGAAGTTCTTGCAGAGAACTCCCAGGGATCTCCCTTGCAGAGGGTTTATGTATTGTGAGACTCCAGTCAATGCAATATACTATACAAATATATAATTATTCATAGAACTAGTAGAGAGCCTATGGACTAATTAAAAAACCCTTATTTTACAGGTAGGAAACAGGACAAATCAACATTTATCTGAGGAGAAGGAAGGAGGAACCAAAACACGCCTCTCCTTTTATAAGAGCAAATAATACAAAGGTAAAAACACCATTATTTTTACTCATCTAATTTGAATTTTGCCCTACCTTTCTCTTTACAGAATTTCTTGTCATGTTTTTCTTTGGTTGCCAATGTTTTCAAAGTATCTGCCTTTTTTAAAAAACTAATATCCCTCAGCTCATGAAGTTTGTTTCACCAATCTTGTGCCCTCCTCACCAAGAGCTAAGTCAACTGTGGTATCTGTTTAGTCTTCCAAAGTGTAAAAGACTTTTAACTTACTCTTAAAAAACTCTGGATAATACACAGAGAGATTTTACCCTGGCACAGAACAAACTGTAGTAAGAACATTGTTATCTACTTATTAGCCTGTGATTGATCCATAAAAAGTAGTTGGACAAACAGGGAAAGCAACACTGGCACATGTGTTAGACTCTCCCTGCCCATGGAGCAGAGTATCTTGATCCACTAAATTTGGGTAAAGCACCTAAAGATAAAACAGTTCACAGGTGCAGGGAATATACCTGGAGATGTGATGGATGTACTTAAAAGCTGCCTGTAAATCTTCTAGTTCCTGATTCATGCCTGCAGTACCCTCCACTGATGCAAAAGTCAAAGATCAGTGAAGGTTCAAAAACACCATTTTCATTCTCAGAACGTTCTTTTGCACTTGATATTTTACTCAGTTTTCAAGAAAATTTAATATGAAACAGAACATAAACCACAATCAATTTATAGGATTTGCAGTGCAAATGTCCAGCAGATAAAAGGGTGTACAGAAGTTACTTAACTACCAAAAAATAGAAATGTTCTTGTATAAAGTAAGAAACACCAAATCAAAGAAACAGATGAATAAAAAGAAACTATTTTAAGCTGCAGAAAGACTGAACTAACATTGACTGAACAGCATATTTCCAATACCCTGCACTTCATTGTCTGTATCCTTAAAACACAACCACAAAATATTTACATTTTTCTATGCACATTTGATCAAAACTCATCAGACAAAAAATGATCCATCATTTTCCAGATATCATCAAAGAGAAAAAAAACCAGCAAAATATGAATGTCTGATTACTTTCTTAAAGCAAGAGCAGGATTGTGGTGGTTTAAGGTTACATGGGTAGATGATAAAGATGCTCCTCTTTGGCAAATCAAGCCTTGATCAGACTTAGAACCGTGTCATGTTTGGTGTGTGCCATTCAGCTTTACCCTTTTGAGACTCATCCACGCCTTTAAACACCTTCCAAGTGAAATCTTTTGTTATATGGAACACGCTCAGCATTATTGCAAACCCAAGAAAATCTATCCCCAGGTTTCAAGGAAGTGGTTTAATACTAAAGCAAATTCTGCCACGGATAAAATTCAATCCCTAGATAACAGGAGCTGCCTACAAGCCAGGGATCTGATCTATCCTAGTTATGGGGATTTAGTTACCATATCAGAGGAGTTAAGAGATATTTAACTTATCCCCTGCCCATACTAGATCATAACAGTTGTCACCTGAATGGCTTTTCAGGTTGCCCTGGCACTATTGGTCTATCTCCTGTACCTATATACTGAAGCTTAAATTTAGGCCTCGATCTGTAAACTGAATCCCATCCCTTCTACCTGCAAAGATCAGTTTGGAAAACAACATTTGATGCAGTATTATTCTCAAATTCTACCATCCCAGATGTGCTAAGATTAGAAGTACTTCATTTTATGTAATTTAAATATATATTCAGTTCTTATAATGTTTACTCAATAGATGTAAAAGTAGCTTAAGATGATTGCATTTCAATATAAAGCAGAAAAACAACAATAAAAAAAAAAACAGAGATTGTGCAGCTCAGACTAAGAATAAAAAAAAAAAGGAGAAAGACTATTTCAAAAACCATACTGTGGAAACCATAAAACCAGTTGCTCACACTATTACGTGTTTAAGTAAAAACGATTAAACTGTATTAGCAACCTTCAGTATGGTCCTAAATGCTCACACTTTTTAAATTAAAACTCGCCTCCCTCTGTACATGTGGTCAGAAATAAAATAAGAATGCTTGTGGACCAAGGACAAATTGCATCATTACCAAAAACCTGTGTACTGAAAAAGAGTAAAATAAGAAGCCACAATTAATCAGTACTGAAAGTTTCTTTGAAAGAACTTTAAAGATTGTACCTATCAGTAATAGTTCTAAGGAGCAAGATTCTGTAGGAAGCAATCCAGCACGTTCTCTTCCACCACAGCCTCATCACCTGTTATTTAATGTTCTCTTTATAACTTCCAACCCGTAACACAGCAGCACAACCCTTGCTTTCATTCAAGTTTTCACAAGAACCTGTCAACTATCACTTCACAAAAACTAAAAAGCAAATAATGCTTCTCAGTTCTGTGCCATCAAACATCTATTCCTTGAGGTGACTCAATTATGTGGAATAATATCTTTAAAAGCAACATTTAAGTTTGAACTGTTCAATGAGATGACTAAAGGGCTGAAGTTTGCACTGCTGATACCTCACTATATCACTCTACTGTAACAGTACCAATGAAAATAACAACGTTAAAGGCCCATCCTTGAACAGTCTCTTCAGCCTTATATTGATGATTACACCAAACAGGATCAAAATGTGCCACCTGATACTCTGGGAGCAACCAAAGACAAGAAATAGTAAAGTAGAGGATGCTCAGCTTGATGCCTCTTAGCACACATTTTCATTTTAAAACAGGTTGTTGGTGTTGCTTCAGCCTTTCTCCCACATCCTCCAGAGGGCACAGCAATAGTACTCACGGGTTTTAACACACAGTGCTGGGTGGAGAGAATTTTCTGGGATAAATTATGCCCAACAGAGGTTATGCACTGCCAGGTAACACCATGTTGAACAATTTAACACCTCTGGAAACTCTACACAGAGAGTTGTATTTGAGACTGTGAGAACAGCACTAGAGCTACACTCCCTACTTTCATAGTAACTGAGTATTTCCCAGTTCCAACAGCAAGTGAAAACCTTCCGTGGTTTAATTCATGTAATAGACAACCTCTTATGAGTAACTACAGGTCACATCCTAAATATCAAACACAATGTTGAAAATGAACTGTATTCACCTTCAATAAGAAAATAATTCTTAGGCCATTTCTCAGTTACACTGCTTACCATTATTTTCATCAGAAAAAGCATTCTGCCTCCAAAGAAATGCTTGTTGACTACTTATTACATAAGAAGGAACTTAATGCAAAACTCATGAGGAGCACGGAGTTCCTTCTTAGATAAAAAACCATTCCCATGAGCTTGTACCAAACAATTTGCAATATATTAAATAGTTCAATAATTCAAATAACATTACCATTACAAGGTGAAACGGTTCAAAGAGAATTACCATTAAAAAGTTACATAATTAAAATATTAATTGATATGATTTGTATTTTTTGTAAATTTGAATTATAATTTAATTATAATTATATATCACTTTAATTACATTTAAAATACATATATACCAATATTGTATATAATTCTAATTATAATCTAAATATATTATCAATAATTCAATAATTACCATTAAAATATATATGATTCTCATATAAATTTATATTCTAATGTATTATATATTATATAATATATAGTAATATATATTATATAGTTATATATATTATATTATGTATAATTATATAATTATACAGTTTATATAATTATAATTATATGTAGTATAAATATATATTATATTATATATAATTCTATTTATATAATTCCATATGTATTTTACATAAATAAATATATAATGTTATATATTCTGTATTATATATTTTTATATTCTTTATTATATAATCTATTCTACATTATATAATGTATAATTCTAATTATCTATAATTTTAGTTTTCTATACAATATAAATATATTTATCTATAACTCAATAACATTTACCATTATAAATATGCGTAATATTCATATAAATTTAAATTTATATTTAATTTAATTTAATTTAATTTAATTGTAATCACATATTATTTTAGTTATATGTAAATATAATTATATGATTACGTATTTATATATAAATATAAATTTCTAAATAAATTTAATTATAAATGTAAAAATATATCCTAAAAATATATAAGTATTTGTAATGATTATTTATAGATATCCCTTTTATTGTCCCATAAAGATGCATTATTTTGTCAAACATTAGACCGGTAACTTTGGCTCAGGGAGGCTGAAGGGAGCACTGCCAAGGTGCTGAGAGCGTGACTTACGTTGTTCATGTACTCGCTGAGCAGGTCCTGCAGCGCCTGGCGCACGGCGTTGCACTCGGCCACGATGCGCTCGCGCCGGTCGTCCCGCGTGCACGACGAGTCGGCCATGAGCGCCGCCCCGCTGATGATGCTCTCCAGCCTCTCCTCCAGGGACGGCCGGAACCGAGCCTCGCTGAAGGTCATGGGGTCCAGAATGATCTTGTTCTAAAAGGCAAAAGGAAATGGGAAATGATGAGCAGACGTGGGGGTCCTTGGTGTTTTCTAAGTATGTCTTATGTCAACAGAATCACAGAATGTGCTGAGTTGGAAGAGACCCACAAGGATCAATGAGTCCAAGCCTTAGCTCTGCACAGGACCATCCCCAAGAGTCACAGCATGTGCCTGAGAGGATCATGCCAATCCTTCTTGAACTCTGTCAGCCTTGGTGCTGTGACCATTTCCCTGGAGAGCCTGTTCGGTGCCCAACCAGCCTCTGGGGGAAGAACCTCTTTCTAATACCAAACCAAAGCCTTCCCTTACAGAACTGGAGGCCATTTCCTCAGCTCCTGTCACTGCTCAGCCCAGGGAAAAGAGCAGTGCCTGCTCCTCCTCTTCCCCTCAGGAGGAAGCTGGAACTGCAATGAGGTCTCCCCTCAGTCTCCTCTTCTCCAGGCTGAACAGACCAAGTGCCCTGGGCCGCTTCTCCCACAGCTTCCCCTCAAGGCCCTTCACCACCCTCATTGCCCTCCTTTGAACACTTTACATTTATCATAGAATATCAGGTTGGAAGGGATCTCAAAGATCATCTGGTCCAACATTTCTTGGCAAAACTAACTACCAAGTTTCTGAAAAAATAAATATTACAGAAATACCTAGTAGTTCTAAATCCAAATAAATTAATAAAATTAAAAACAATCATATATATAAATAATTCACAACCTTACTGCCCAGAAATGCTGTGGCTGCCCCATCCCTGGATGTGTCCAAGGCCAAATTGGATGGAGCTCTGAGCAATCTGGTCTACTGGAAGGTGCCCTTGCCAATGGCACGGGGTTGGAATGAGATGGTCTTTACAGTCCCTTCCAACTCAAACCATTTCATGATTATAAATTAATATTATTCTTCCTTGAATCCTCTGAGAATTTCTTGGCTATTCATGAAATTCACAGGAAAGGTGTAAGTTATTTATACCTGAAGAGAAAGTGGGATATTCTCTGTTAACTAATTCCTTAATTTTGATTATTTTTATTAGCAGACTACACTACTAGATCATCTCAGTGTTATGTGAATTTAAAAAATTGAGGAACCTAACAGTGCAAGAAAACCATTATTAGATAATCACATTTAGACAAAAATATGAAATATCTCTGATTTCCATTCTGTAGAGCATCTTTTAAAAGCCTTTTTTGTTTTTAAATCAGGAAAAAAGTGCTACATAAAGACAGTCTAAAAATATCTAATTTGTCTAACAGGCTACTGGTTAGCAAAATATCTTTATTCCACTAGAAAAAGAATTGATTTTCAAAGACTGTTTTCTAATGAAGAAAGTTTAATTCTTAAATTATGATCACTGCTAAGCACTTGTGTACTTTATCTATCAGACTGATTACCAAATATCAAATAGGGCTAAAACACATTGATTCTACTCCCATCAATAAAATCTTATGTAATGTTATGAGTTCTGAGTCACTGCTGGATTATATTCTGACCTGCTTTTCTCCCTTTGGAGTTCAAGGTAAGAAATACAAAAGCAATAATTACCTGCTCCCACTTATGGGCACATTTACAACACCTTGTAATTCAAAATAACCTTTTGCTGCAATCATGCAAAGAAGTCTCCTAATTGTATATTGACTAAAAATGCTCTGTAAGCAGTGCACTTCTTATTTGAGCTTTGAAAGAAAATAAATCAGGAAACAGGAATGAAAAATATAAAAGCATTCTGATTTCTAATCATCACACCGAAGCACAGAAGATTTGTGTTAATGATCTGTTTTAATTTTCACAACGTTCTGATAACTTCATGGTTAGTCTATTTTCTTTAATATCCAAGAGCAATCAACAAGTACAACACAAATGATACAATTAATTTGAAAAAAAAAAAATGCAACACGGTATTAAAATGTAAATCAGGATTTAGGGACATGATATATAACCAACAAGTGTCTTTAGTGTGGAAAACTTTTACTTATCAGAACACGTTGAAATGGATTTATTCTAAGTTAAAAACTGATTCCAAGTGAATGTCTTCTTTATTTCAGCAGGGCAAGTGTTTTACAAAACATCTTATTCCTCAATAAAACTTCCAACTCACACACAGACTTCTGTTACCATACAGAGAAAGGATCAAGCCCTGAGAAATCTATAACTTCACTGAATGTGCAGCAGGTAAATGGCAATAAACACAAGGGTGGCAGGAAATTTATGAAAATTCATTATTTAATAAAAGGACAAATAGAAGAATTTTAATCAGATAACATATTGTTCCAGCTCCAGGAACTGCTGGCTTAGCAGAAACAAATGCAGCATGACCCGGAATGTGAAATAATGTCTCACATGTGTCTTCTGGGGTGTGTTTCTCAGCAATAAGCAGAACAGTTTTACAAGCACCTAAATTAGAAATGACTTCTCCAAGAGTCAGCTCTATGCATATTTATGTAGCTGGGCTCTTAAGTCAAATGCTAATACTTGGGATTTTCAGAAATCAACTATATAAATTCATCTTCACAACTGCACAATGAATTCAGTAGCAGCAAGAGTGCAATTGCGTCAAATGAACTATATATGCAATTTATGCCAATAGTAAAAGAAAAATTGAAAAAATTAGCTGCGTGTTTCAGATTCCCAACTAATCCTTCCAGAAATGCCTCCCTTTTCCTCCTTGTCCTCACAGCCATAGATGTAAGGTTCTCTTTCTACACAGAACATTTCAAACAGCAGATCTTAGACCTCTCAGCAAGTCATAAATCACATTTTTCTTCTTACATGTTTTGGAATACTCTGCAATCAGTCTCCCGCGAGACCCAAGGACCTATCAAAAATAAATTCCTGGAATATGCAAATATGTATGTTTATCTGCATGTGCATCTGCATATGCAAATTCTGGGACAGGTACCCGGGGAAGAATAACCCCAGGCACCAGTAGAGGCTGGGGGTGACCTGTTGGAAAGCAGGAGAGGGAGGAAGTGGAGAAGGACCTGGGGGTCCTGTTGGACAACAAGCCATCCCTGAGCCAGTGGCATGTCCTGGGGGCCAAGAAGGCCAATGATGTCCTGGGATGCATTAGGAGGAGCATTGCCAGCAGGTCAGGGAGGGGATCCTGCCCCTCTGCTCAGCACTGCTGAGGCACATCTGGAGTGCTGGGTCCAGTTCTGGGCTCCTCAGTACCAGAGGGACATGGAGCTCCTGGAGCAGGTCCAGAGGAGGCTACGAAGAAGATGAAGGGACTGGAGCATCTCTTACAAGGAAAGGTTGAGGGAGCTGGGGCTGTTCAGCCTCCAGAGGAGACACTGAGAGGGGATCTCCCCCACATCTGTCAGGGTCCACAGGGAGGGGGCAGAGCATGGACCAGGCTCTGCTCGGGGGGGCCCAGCAGTGGGACAAGAGGAATGGGCAGGAACTGATGCCCAGGAAGTTCCACCTGAACATGAAGAAGAATTTTCTTACTGTGCACATGGTTGACCTTCAGTGCTGACTTGGGATGAACTTGCTGTCCAGCAGGAGAATTAGATGCTTATTTTTGTCCCACTGTTTTATTAACCCAAACAGAGAATCACAGAATGGTTTGGGTGGGAAGACACCTTAAAGACCATCTTCTTCTGCCTCCCCGCCATGGGCAGGAACACCTTCCACTAGATCAAGTTGCTCCAAGCCCCATCCAACCCAGCCTTGAACACTTCCCGGGATGGGGCAGTCTGTGCCAGGGCTTCACCACCCTCAGAGGGAAGAATTTCTTCCCAATAACCCATCTAATCCTGTCTTCTGGCAGTTTGAAGCCATTCCCCCTTGTCCTGTGCCTCCAGGTCCTTGTCCAAAGTCCCTCTCCATCCTTCTTTTAGTCCCCTTTTAGGTATAGGAAGGTTGCTATAAGGTCTCCTCAGAGCCCAGAAGTAATTTTTAGCCCTCTTTTAATTCACTTTTATATAACAAGAAACACTTCTGGGAAAGAAAACCCCAAGAGATTTTAAGGAAAGAAACAGAACAACTGTGTTCAGCTTAAAATACAATAAATAATGATGTAGTTACTTTCTGACGGGTGGTTATAAATAAATTATATTCTAGATGTTATTTTTAAAGTCTTTCTCAAATATCTCAGAGGGAAAACAGCTATTTTGAGGGGAAAAAAAAAGATTGGGAATGAGACCCTTCTACATCACAGCTCTCAACAAGCAGTTACCAAAGAGACACTATATTTTGCTTACAAAAGGTGTTACTCCTTTTCAAAAGCTTGGCATTAAAATCCAATTTCAGACTAAGTTATTGACACCTACACAGGTCTTACATATAAATTAACAAGGAAACAACAACTTATTGGAATGAAGAAAAAAAAAGAGTTGGCAGTAAATCTGGCTCAATAAATTCCTTCAGAAGTCTGAAGTTCCCGTCACTTCTTGATAGCCAGTTAATGAACGAGGCCTGTAAATGAACTGGAACATTTTACATTTCTAATTACTTAACTAACATTAGAGCCATAAATCAACCACTGACACTATAATTCAGCCCTTTTAATTAAGTGTTTCAAGTTTCTTTACAAATGTAGACAGATTAGTGTAAATGTACATCATCTTTGGCTTCAGATGCTGAAACGAAGTCCAAGAAAATTAATTTTAATACAATTGAAATTTGTTTGGAAACTGCTAAACTCATGATAAAATCTTGTTTAACTTTATTATTGTTAACTATTTTCTCTCCAACTCTTCTTTCTTCTTTAAATTATACAAAGTGTGCTTAAAGTGTAGTTGCAACGTTTTAAAAAATAATAAAGATTTTCAGAAAATAGACCTCGTCATACTAGTTAGTATTATAAGCCATCTTTCTCTTGTTCAGAAAGGAATAAACTATCTCAAACACTAATAAACTACAGGAAAACACTTCTGAAATTTAAAATATCAGATAAATTATTTATAGTTCAGATAAAAATACTGAAAAAGCCCCATATCCTACAGCAATGCACTGTACAATCAGAGAGTACATAATAATTGAAACTTTGTGACATTTATTGGGAT